GTATGTTGTTATAATGCTAATTACCATATCCAAATCCATACTCTCTTCTCAAGACGCCTTTTAACTTACTTGAGAAGCAAGGATCTGGGAGCCATTCTCAGTTGATGTTCCTTGATCTTGATGAACAACTTCAAGGACTTTGATGTAGACTTGAATGATTAGTTTCTTCTTCTCCTCTTGAAGCTTGGTAAGAGACAACAACCTCATGAGACCCCAGCCTGTGGCCCCGGCGTAGAAAGTGCTGCATAATTCTGTAGGATAAAACAAAATAGATATATCAACTACTTTCTTCTTCATAAATCAGATAGACAACAAACGGAAGCTCATTATACCAAATGATCTATAGAGCTCTTTGCCGAATTGATTCAACAAAACGAAGCAATATCTAGCTCTCAGGGAAGTAGGATTCACAACTTGGAGGAACAGAGCCAAGCGATCATCCTCACCATGGTATCCCTTGGGATAAACGGCAAGACGCCTAAGAGAAAAACTCAGGTTTTTTACTTGTAGATATCGAATATAGACAACGACGACTAGGCTAAGAAAGCTAACGATTTGAGTTCTTTACCATTGGCAGCCGCCGCCGCTCGAGAAGGGTTCCGACTTGATGAAATCCATTTCGCACAAGTTGTCTACCTCCCAACTCAAGGCCTTGTCCATTTTTTGATTTCTTGCGTAATGATGGTAATTTAACTTAAAAGAAAAAAACAAAAAGAACATAGATGAATGCCGCATCTCGAACATTAAATTTTGTGGACAAAGTAGTAGTAAAACAGAGGATCCACCACAAGTTAAGAAGTATTTGTTTAGCCGTATAGCAGCAAGTAAGTAAGGAAGAAGAAGAGATTTCTAAACAACATCAAGTTTCCAAGGGTGCATGCCTAGTTTGTTGGTATACAATGATAGGCCGATACTAGCCGGATATAATAACTAATTTGTTTTTTTGCTAAATCAGATCTGATCCTAGGAACTTGGAGTATCCTATTTTTCATATCCCAGTCCTAAACCACTGAGGGATTCAGAAAGTTCCAACAAAAAAAAAATATAAAAGTATGATTAAGAAATCATAATTCAGAAATCACAAAACAAAAGGGAAACTGGAAGCAAACAATCAAACAACTTATATTAAACAGGATGACTTACATAC